TACAGTCGACCCCCCTATAATTACGGTCCCTATAATTACGATTCCTATAAAACTACGAAAAAATATACGTATTTTGGAAATGTTGAGTCGGATTAGTGTAGAATCGATTAATTTTATGGAAGAAAACCTTTCAATCAGCCATAGTCTGTAAACTTGACACGTGTCGGGCTGTGATTGGAACGACTTGTAAGAAATCGGATTCCTAATAAATTGGAACGTATCTATATCTTATAGGGGGGTTGACTGTATTACAAGGTTTTTTGGAATTGTCAAATTCAATGTATAGTAATTACTGTGCAAAATACCAGCAGGGAATTGCAGCTGTGTTTGTTTGTTTGTTTGTTAAAAAATAAATGCATGTGATTGCTGGTTAATTTTGATTATACATTTAGTTCTAACAGTGTAATGATGATAACTCCAAAAAATTTCTTTACGAAATTTCTTTCTTTTGATTGGTTGAATATTAGATCAGTTAATACTGTATATTTCTGCAGATAAGACGAGGTATAAATTTTCGTCAAAGTTTTATAGTTTTAGAATATATCTGTCCTATAAGACGACTCCCAAACTATCAATGACCTATGAATTTAGTTTAGGTCAGCGATCATCATCTGGATAATAATACAGTAAATAGCGTCTATGGAATTATGTCCTATTCATAATTTTTCGAATGAACAAATTTTATTTTCTTGCATCTGGCAGCACTGCCTTGCAATTATTGCAAACATTCACACTGATTCGGGCATTCGGGAATGACCTTGACAATTCACAAAAATGCCATATCATATGGGCTATTCTATTTTGTGGACACACCCTATTCTCTACTAGTAAATAATTATGGTTTGTCCATTTTTTTATAATGGTTTTAATTTATATAAATTTCAATCTAATTTTATTTTTTTTATTTTTTTGTATCTGTCCTATAAGACGACCCCAGATTTTGGGGGCCATTTTTTATGATTCAACTATTGTCTTATCTGCAGAAATATACTGTATGTAACATAATGGCTGTGTTTAGCAGACTCAACAGTTCTGGAGCTTTTGAGTATTTTTCTGCTGAATGCCATCTACAGTAGTGCTCTTTCGGAACATATTTGGTGTTTTGACGTCACATTTGGTAGAGCCTTTCATTTACGCTACCTATCACTACCTGAAACTGACCAATGAGGCTTTAGTTCCAACACAATGTCACTCATCATTCATCAGATCCAGGTTGCTATGGAACAGCTACCGATTTGCTCAGTTACAACTGTTGAGTCTGCTGAACACAGCCAATGGTGATTATGTACATTGTTTATCATNTCGTTTTTCGACTTAAGTCATTCTCCTGGAACCAATTACCGACGTAAGGTGAGGTATACCTGTATTGTTATATAATATATCATTTTAAAATATTAACAGTTTTACCTAATTTTTTTTCTTTAATTAATATTTTATTTACATTTTTAAAGTATCAAAAATTAATTTATATATTTTGAAAATTTAGGAAAAATTAATGCATTTTCCCACTTGGGTTGATCTTAAAGGAGAAGATAGTGTTCCTGAAACTGTTCATCATGTGGTAAGTTTTATAGTATTGGCATCATTAAATGCTTGAACTGATATCAGGAATAATAAAATTTTAACTGGTTTTTGTTAAGTATTAAATAGACAAGTACTGTCAATTTTCTTATATGGAAACAAGTTTTTTGTTTCAACAACACTACATAAATATTAATTTTTATTAATTAGCATTGCTCATGAATCAAAATGTAATGATGACTCGTAATAACAATCATATTTTGTTTTGCTTTTCATTTATAAACTGAAAAAGTATATTCAATCATACTATTATAAAAATAATAATGCATTGTTACTGTCACTGTATTTTCATACTTGATATATCTGTAATTTCAACTATGATTTGGAGATAGAGAAATACCGATTATCTTTCTTTTTAAGTAAATTATGTAAAGCAAATTTTCTCATTGAAATGTTTTCAGATTTTAGTATTTAGAAGTACAGTAAGTCTGCCTTTTATGGTTAATTTGTTCTAAAACTTTCTATGCAATTTGAAAATCTGCATAAGTCACATAGTGTTTAAATATGATAAATTTTGATGTATAATACTCATTTTAAAGATAATCAAAGCTAAATAACTTTTGTTTATGAAAAGTAAACAAAATATAACAAAGTTCATGTTCTATTTTAGAATGCAAAGGCATTCCACAATGAATTTACCTATTCAAAAATTTTTTGGAAGACCATGGCTTTACAATTTCTACATATTTAAAACTTTTAAGATTTTACAGATAATAAAATTAATAAACCAATCATTATACTGATTCCCTATAAAAGTCAATATTACAAATGAATATATTTAATGAACTGAAAATATTCGTCTATTTAAAGTTTTGCTGGAAAAGAAGAAAATATTTATTTGTGGTTAGAATTATTTCCAGTTTTTGTTATTTCTTACTTTTAGTTAGCAATCATGGTAATGCCAGCCGAAGTGTACAGAAAATTAATATTGGCCTTAACTAGAACAATAACTAAATTGAACTTCTTGTTGGAATATAAGAATTGTAGTGTGTTTCTTATGTCTACTGCACCTGTTTATCTATGGATTGTGAATCTGTTCTTTCTAAGTTACAGCATATTTGTTTCAGAAAAGCCATATATACAACAAGACACTTGATGTATACACCAAGCTTACAGCCTTCATTTGATTTTAAAATAATCTTTTTGCTAAAGATTATTCAAACTGTGAACCAGTGCCAGGCTTCAAAACATTTAATTTAAGTAAAAAGGGAAGTTTATAGAGCTTTTTAGCAAAATGATTTCAGAATATGTTTTGTGACTCTCTTTAGATGAATTGAACATTAAAAAAATAGTATTGATGCAAATTGCTGTTTAGCTGTTATATCTGAAAAACTACCCAAAATTTAAGAAAAATTATAAAATTTTCTGCCTTAACAAAAAAAAAACAATTAAGTTGTCTGTCAATAAGTTTACTTGGTTCAAATTTTAATTATTTTATGTATAATACTTAAAAGAAATTTATTTATTCTTTCTTTTTCACAGCTTTTAGTTTTTATTTTTTAAAGTAGATTCTTTTAAATAGAAACATGGAAGTTATAATTATCAATAAATTTATATTAAGATTAGCTCAGAAAAAATATGTATATGAACTAAAGTTCATATTATTGTATATAACTTATATCAATTGATATAAATTATTAGATGAAACTGAAAAGGGATAATGAAACATTAGCCTAAAATGCAATTAGTAAAAAATCCTGATATATCTTGTATTCCTCCTTTTTAATGTAGTAAATAAATAATTTTTGAAGATTGATGGTGGTTTATAGAATTTGAAGTTTTTCTATGTAGTTAGGTGTAAAAGAATATAAGGAAATGATCTCAATAAGCAATTTTGTTAATTTTGTTGTTATACTTGTCAAAACTTAATAAATAATTAATTATTGAAATTCCATAATCAATATTATATACATAGCATTAATTATTAATATATGAAATAGTAATTATTTGCATTAACCTATCCAATGTTGAAATCTTTCTCCATTGCGTGTCGTGCCATGTTGAATGTTTGTCAATGTTAAGCCTAACGAAAATTACACATTTTTGAAAAAATAATCATGGCTATTGTATTGTCCAAAATTATTTTTTTATTTTGCACAAACAAAATAAATATATTAATAAATGTAAAAACAAAAAAAAAATTATATTTTGAAAGTTAGTTTTAATATAAAAATAACGACTTTCCGATGCTGAAATAAGATATCTCAGGTCACCAGTCAAGGTCAGCAGGTCACAACCTGAGATATGTCTGGGAATAACACAGGACAGGTTAATAAATATGTTGACTATTATCAAATATTGATGATTTAACATGAATTAATTATATTTGAAAGTTTTGACATGTATTGCTTTAATTAGTATATTTTATAATGATTATTATTTATATTTATATAAGATAATGAATTTATACTTTTTATTGTAAATAGGTGTGTATGGTAGATCCGAGAAAGGATACATTATGGACTAATTTGAAAAGACATGTTCAGGTATTTTTTAATTTATTAAGTTTGAGGTTACTTTATTATTAATAAAACATAGTTTATTATAATATAATTAAAAATATATATATAATTGAAGCAGTTACATACAATATACTAAACAAAATCTTATAAATACAGAAACATCATTATGGAAGTAATTTGGTGATATCCTCTAGTATTCTGATACAAGACATGCAACTTGTTTTAAAAATACATCACTAATTTGCAGTGGTGTGCTGTGAAGTTTGATAGTAGGGAAGCTGTGTTTCTGTAAGAAGCCGACTTCCAGGGGCAATCAGTTAATTGCGTGTCAGTGATGGTCAAGAATCCATTCGTATCGTTTGTTTAATAAGCCAGTAAAAACCATAGATTTCTCTAAATGTATTTTTAATATCACAATTACATTCTGAATTGCTAGCCACGATATAAGGGCTAAAACTATAAATAAAATAATAAAAACTTACTTGATGAAATAAAATGTGTGGTGGATGTACAGTACATACCTGGTATAAAATATTCTTCAATTATATTAATATACTTTTAAAGAAAATTATAATTAAATATAACTTTGTAAAGAAACATACATAAAAATAACATAAAATCTTCTTTACTTTTTAAATCTTAAAACAATCCACTTATTCAAATAGCTGCGTACGAGTGACTAACGGATGGAATCATAGACGGTCCTGGTAGGTGCATGCACACGGGCTGGCAAATCCCGAGGGTGCCGATACCAGTCAATGTCAAATGCCTCTTTTGTAGCTTCACTAGTATACCTCAAAGGACACGACAGGTTGTTGTACATTTTAAACATTTCTCACCATAGCTGTAAAAATCTACATATGTTAAACTTAATAGATTGTTTGTTGTTTGTTTTCTAACTAATTCGTTTTAGGACCAGGGTCCACGGAAATTTTCGAAATATACAACTTTTCAGTCACTGTCATTGAACTGGAAAAATTTCTGTCTTTATTACATCTAATATTATGAAGAAATCAGTCCCCACTGTGTTTAAGTAAAATTTTGGCTCTTTCGTCAGGGTTTTATTTATGCCCCCAATTCTCTAATTGCTTAATTATTTAACTACTTCTTAAGTAGAAATAAGTCGAAACCGGTTACTTTGTACTCGAATATTTGTAGTCTTGGGAAAAAAGTGGAAAGACAAATTTTTATGACAACAGATACATAAATCGTAAATTTAAGGAATATAAATTCTAGAGCTTTTTCTGTACCTCATGCATCTCTCTCATTCATTAAATTTAGTTGTAAATGATGCTGTCAAAGTAACAGTTAATTTTTTAACATTATACAAGAATTGTACACATTTTTTTCTACATCCCCTTAAAGATGGGATATACGAAATCGTAATATCACTGGTTTAACATTGAAATCCGT